TTGACGCCAACTACCCAGCCACCTCCTACTCTTCCCGTGCCCTTTCCCTCTCTCCCTCTCTTTCATCACTCTCTCACCCTCATTGTACACTGCCACACTTGTCTCCATGGGAACTGCTCTGGGATTGGGTGTTGTTCCTGTGACCTCTCCGACTCTGGGAGTTAGACAAACTTTTTTTTTTATTTCTCCCTCCCATCTACTATCATGCACTCCTGCATTTTTTTCAAAACATGCTGGGTGTGTGTGGACAGGACACGACAGCAGGTGTGGCTGGCGTCAGGACAGAACAGTAAAATTTAAAATAGAAGAAACTACTGTATGTCTTGACTGAAAAGATGCAGTAAAAGAAAGACCCTGTGTGAGTGAAGCAGATTTCTCATTGGCAAAGATACAAGCGCACGTGTGTGTGTTCTAGAACTGCGGCCACTCCGTCCACACGTGTGCTGGCATTGTCCCATAGCCACAGCTAATCACTAGCTCTGTATTCAGAGGCACCCCTGTTGTCCAGCCGTCCCTATTCATGGCTGTTTGGCCAGACATGATCACAGCTTTTCATGCTATGCTACCAAGTGACACACACATCTGAATGCACAAACACGGAGGAAATGAGGAAGCCATCTTGGTGGAAAACATAAATCATTAGCACATAGACTTTCGATATTTAACCGCTTGGTAGAAAAACTGTTGAAATTAGTCTCAAGATTGGTCTTAAATGAAGTCTATGGCCTTAATGAGGTGTTCGTTAACATTCTGGTGTTAATACATTTCTTCGAAAGACTAAAACGCATTTACTTTATATATAAAATGTGATTCAAAGAAAAGGGGTTTGTGTTCATTAGCACATTTTACAGAAAAAAAGAAAAAAAACCTGGCTCCAGCCCCCACGCGATCCCGTTCGGGACTAAGAATATGAGATGAGAAAAAACCTCAACAACTTTCAATGAAATATAACTAGCACAATTATATGAATCTCATGCACACACATACACGTTAGTAAATTGTGCAGTTAAAGGTACTCTTCAGTCTTTGCCCACTGGGGGCGCTGCAGAAGCAGCATTTTAGTAGTAAACTACTATTCCGCTTATTGCAACTGGCAGTGGTAATGCATCCATCCATTATCTAGACCAATTATTCCTGGATAGGATCGCTACAGCAAATCCCTGCTGACATTGGGTAAGAATTGGGGTGCACCCTGGACAGGTCACCAGTCCATCATAGAGACAAACAGCCACACACACTCACTCCTAGGGGCAATTTAGAATCACCAATCAACCTAAGCTGCAAGTCTTTGGACTGTGGGAGGAAGCTGAAGTACCCGGAGAGAACCCATACAGGCACAGGGAGAACATGCGAACTCTGCACAGGAAGGCACCAGGTTGGCCCGGGATCAAACTTAGAACCTTCTTGCCATTATCTGACAGCGCTTATCACTGTACTGCTGTGCCACCCATGACAGTGGTAATGAGCTGCCAAAGTGAAGAGAGCAGATTTCAAAACATTTTAAAACTTTCTTGCAAATATTCTGAGTTTGTAAATTTGTTCCACAGGTTCTAATAACTGATTTTGCTACCCACATTATGGCAGCAGAAACAATTCATAAACACAACACTGATTTGTTATCATTCTTTAATTTGATTTGTCAAAACTGTTAGCAAACAGTCGCCTATTTTTTCGCTCTTAGCCTGTTAAATGCTCCACTGTACTATAATCACCAGCTAGTCGCTAACTTTGCCTGTTTGTTGCTGGGCAGATAGCGAACCCTAGGTTTTTATTTTTATTATTTTTATTTTCTGCTGCCTGTTTTGGGTCAAACTGGTGCTATGAGCGGTAAGAGTCAACAGCTTTTTAGTGAAATCTGCAGAGCTGAGGGGAACTGCAGAGTCAGCTTATAATCAACATTAAATGTGCTTTGTGGTTGCAGTAAAAAAACTGATAGTCAGTGATCTGATATCTGATGAAGGGAAAGTTCACGCCCCTGTCTGTTCCCAAAATGCAGAGTCACGCCTGCAGTCTGGCTGTTTCTGTTTTAGTGCAACTGAGCACTAAATGACTGCTATGCATATACAACAACACTGTATGAAAACAACAGATACTTACTGGCAGACCTCCTACAGACACATACGTGCGTGAATATGTCTCGAGGCATTTTCAACCTTTAGTAAACATCCTCAGTGACCTCAAAGAAGGGATGACTAACCTGCTCTCCAGCTGACTTGAACTGTGTTCCAAGCAGGAAGTCAAACGATGTTTGAGAAGTTCAAATGTCAGTGGTTTCTTAAAGAGGAAGCCGTGGCTTTACAAGGACGACACAGCAATTCCTGTTTCTGTGGTCTGCACACAGAAATGTGAGCACAGAAAGATACAGTGAAACAAGAGCACATACATTTTCTGCAAGTACATGTAGATAAGCATGACAAATGTTTACATTCGTAG